CAGAACTCTGAGGGGTCCCAGAACTCTGAGGGGTCCCAGAACTCTGAGGGGTCCCAGAACTCTGAGGGGCCCCAGAACTCTGAGGGGTCCCAGAACTCTGAGGGGTCCCAGAACTCTGAGGGGTCCCAGAACTCTGAGGGGTCCCAGAACTCTGAGGAGTCAAAGCAGGTTAAGAATCAATGTGATTTTGAGCTTCTCAGGTTCTTCAGGTTCTTCAGGTTCTGCAGCGGCACAAAGAACAGCTGATGAAGTGTTTCCTGGGTCACTCTGAGGAGCTTCCTGTGAACTTCAGGTAGAACATCAGCTGGATCTGGAACTAACTGGAGGTCCGGTGGGTGGGGGAGGGGGTCTCAGGGGGACGAGCTGAGGAGTTCCTGCCTGCGCCTCATGATCCCCACAAACTGGGCCCGGTCCGCCTCCACCTGAGGACAAACAGCAGCTAAGTGATGAGGTCAGTGCACGCTGCCTTCATCAAACGACTCCAGCCCCGAGTCCAGAACCATGCTGCTGGCTGCCAGCTTCTCCTGACGCCTCCTCATGATCTCCTGCAGCTCAGAGCCCCAACTCTTCTGGACACGCCCAGGACAGCAGGACAGCAGGACACCAGGACACCAGGACAGCAGGACAGCAGGACAGCAGGACACCAGGACAGCAGGACAGCAGGACAGCAGGACAGCAGGACACCAGGACAGCAGGACAGCAGGACACCAGGACACCAGGACAGCAGGACACCAGGACAGCAGGACACCAGGACAGCAGGACATGAGGACATGAGGACATGAGGACAGACAGACCGGTGGTTAGAAGCCAGAAACCAAACAGGTTTATCTCAGGAGACTCTCACAGGGACAAGTCCTCTGCTGCAGTTTGGTTAAAACCTCTAACAGGATGTCCTGATGAGTTTCAGGTGAACTCAGCCTTGTAAGCTCCGCCTCCACCTGGACAAACAGGTTAGTCACATGCAAAAMAGGYCCATCYACTAACAATAGGTTTGATTAGCTCTATTGTTCATAGAGGGTCATGTGACCCATCACCTGACCCGTGTCGTGTTATCTGTATGTAGTGAATGCAAGCGGGGCTCAAAGTCCCTTTATTTTTGTTTTTTCCTCTTTGTGTTGGTATCATCGGGGCCCTGATTCACACCTTTTGCTCACAGGGGGCGGAGTCATACCTGCAATAACAGAGTTGTAGGA